CCTACCCAATCCTAGTGCAGTCTTGCAGAACATGAGAATACCATTGGCTGGTCTAGAATCTGAGAGTCATGACTGAGCTTAAGACAGTCCATCCATTATTGCGGTGGGATTACTTAGATAAAGACCAGATTTGTGTACTTCTCCATGCCTGTGAAGAAGCGGAATTGGCATGGAAGGTGCAGGTATCTGCTAAGGTAAAGGTAGTAGCTATATTAGAAAGAATTATGAAGGACGGATTTTGTACTGAAGACAATAAAATATTGAAAAGGAAAATAGAAATGCCACAAGTGTTTCTTCTGCTCTGAGCCTACCTGTCATTGGGCCTTATTTTGCTCCAAGAGAGGGACAATACTGCCCCTGGGAGCCCCTCCCATTAGTCCTAAAAGGTAATCATAATTAATAGGCAGAATTCCAGATAACACTGTCTTAAATATAGTATGAAAATTTAATGCAAGGGTATAAAGTAGACTCACTGAAGAAAGAGTTTATTTACTGTACATAAACCTAAAGAGGTTTATTAGAAAATCTCCAAAAGGATTCAGAGGAAACTGCACAGTTGTTGTCCTTGGGCAGCAGTGCTAAGGAAAGGAATGGGGAAGAAACTCCATTTTCATTGTTACTTTTGAGATCCATTTATAGTTCTGAAAATTGTACTAACTTACGTACAATTTTTGATTTCACCATTTTTGCTTAACATTTCATCATTAGTTCTAGTCTTCACCATTAATCAGTGTTTTTCATTTCTTCCCATTTTTACCCTCAAAATATTCTTGTTCAATATATGCTTCAGTCTTTCTAAAGTGGGAAATTCTGGTTTAAGTTTGAATTCACTTATTTTGATTGTTAGATAAGGAAATTATCTTGAAGGTGATAGCAATCTGACCTTTCTGTGTTCTCTGCCTGCGGAACACAAGTGTTTGAATTAAAATGGTGCAATGTTCAGTTTTCTGTATGAATTGTAAATACTGTTCTCTCCCCCACTTTTCAACTCTACTCATGTTCTGTAACTTGTAGTATTTGTCTCTAAAATGAGATTGTTGCTCTATTTCAATTTTGTTGTTTAAGTTATTACTTGACTTGTGATTTCTTGTATTAAACTGTTTATCCTGCAGGTGGAGCTGTGATCACATTTCATTTCAAAAGCGTGGAAGAAAACAACCAAAATTCTTTCGGTGTGAAAATAACACATTTTGTAGTATTTGTTATGCTTACTCAAATAGTCTAATTAAACTTAGTTTAATAGCTAAAAGCAGCTTTTCTGACTATAAGATGATTAGTAGATATTTCTGAGTTATATTTGAGAAACACAAAATTAGAGAACAAGAAATTCTATATTTTCATATACAGACATACTATTTCAAACACTTTTTGGAGTTGTATTAATAATATTTTGTGAGGAACTGTGTGCTCAACACTGCTTTTCACAAACAGTGGTGCTTTTTTTTTTTTTTACAGATAGTAGTGAGAAGGTTAGGTGTCTGAAATAAATAGTAGGTGTCAGTGAAAAAAGTAGGTAGGTAGGGTGAGAATGAAATACAGATCTACTGATTAACAGAGTATATATAACGTAAAAGCAAAGATGTCAAGATCTACTTGTACTCTGAAAAGCATGAAGTGAGGCCCCACTAGGATCCATATCATAGTGATACGTCTCTCAATGTGTACTATTTTTAATTTCAGTCTGTGGCAGTGCCCACCAATGTTGTCACAGTTACTCCGGTAAAGCCGTTGACTACTGTAACTACCCTAAAGCCTTCGAGTCTGGGAGCATCACCTGCCCCCTCAAATGAGCCTGATCTCAAGGCAGAGGGCTTGGCAGCCGCTGAGACTGACCTTTCTCCGGTAAGTTCTCACTTAGACTTTACATGAATACAGCTCTTTACAAATGTTCTTGAATTTTACTTCCTAGCTAACTTTTGTGTGTGTTTGTATTTCTATATTTAGACAATGCTAGAAAATGTGAAGAAATGTAAGAACTTCCTTGCAATGTTAATAAAACTAGCATGTAGTGGATCCCAGTCCCCAGAAATGGGACAGAATGTGAAGAAGCTGGTGGAACAGCTTTTGGTAAGTTAGTACTATAAAATCTTGAAAGCTCTGTAAGAATACACAGAACATGTTTTAAATGGGAAATATTTTTAAATGAGGTTGATTTTAAATGAATTTTTTGATAAAGTTTGCTTTTGCTTTTAGTAAGCTTTGTAATGATTATAAATTTTAGAATAAATAAATTGAATGTATATTACCTCTGGATGCCAGTCCTGTTTCTCTTAGTCTAAAAAGGGCCTTGATGAGGAAGTTGACTATATGGTCAAATAAAAATTTGTTATTAGAATTGTAAATACCAGAAAGCTAGGCTATCAACAGATAATGAAATTCAGTTTTGTATGTCCAGGCAACAAACTTAGGGGCTTGTAGAAGTAAGTTAACCTTCTTAGATCTCATTTTCCTCCTCCTCTATAAGAGAGGAGACTAAAAGCTATGATCTTTGAGGTTATTATAGGCGCCAAGATGCTGTGTCCTGTAGCCATCAAATTATACATCCTTGATTTCTTAGATCCTCTTTCAGGTAAAATGTTCAGATACATTAAAGTGGGTGAAGGTGGAAGTTAGCAAATATTGGTTGCATGTATATGCCTAAGACATACGCTGAGGCAGCAACAGAAAAATGTAATTTTTGGATTCTTTAAACTACTAAAATCTACAGATTCCTCAGACCACATAATGAGAAGTTTTGTATATTTCTTCATACAAGAATGACCACTTTTTCCTGACAGAAAATGTATATATTTCAAATAGTATACTGGAAAACAAGCACAGTTTATAAATATTAAAATACCTTCTTTACTACTTTTTTTTATTCTACCTATAATTCATTACAAGTAGAGCACATTTGAAATGGTTTTCCATTTGTGAAAACTATTTTAGATATTTAAAATTATAAGTCATATAAATAAGTTTTTAACATCTTTGAAAGTAAACATTGATCTTTTGATCTATTTTCAAGGCATGATGGTTTTGAAAGGTAGTCTAGTAGCTTGTTTCTCTGAGATGGAATGAATACTCTATTCTAAACGGAGAAGCATGATGGAAAGGAAGATATTAAAACATTAAAAATTTTAAGTACAAAGAATTTATCTTCATTTTGCGGACAGCTAGGAGCAGTCAGGAATTAATCAAATATCCCTTCTGGCTTCAGGTCTACTTAGCTTAAACAGCAAATAGCAATGATCAAACATTTTAGTCTTACGATACCTTTATATTAAAAGTTGAGGATTCTCAAAGCCATTTTATTTTTGTGGTGTTTGGATTAAAAGTGAGAAAGTAAAAAAGAATTTTTTTTACTTACTAATTTATTTTAAAATAACAATTAACCCATCACATGTTAACATAAAAAACATTTAAATGAAAACTATAGTTTTCAAATCAAAAACACCAAGTGAAAAGAGTGGCATTGCTTTACATTTTTACAAATCTCTTTATATCTGTCCCAGTAGAGAAGAGCCAGATTTTCTTACCTGCTTCTGCATTTCATCTGTTTTGTGGTATAAATTATTTTGATTGAACTATTTAGAGAATGTTTGGTCCCATGCAGAGGTGGCTGGAAAAGTTAAGCATCTGAAGAGCGTTTCTCCAGCTAGTTGTGGACACTCTTCATGGCCCATGTGTTTGTCTTGTGCTCTGCCTGGGCCTTGCCCCCGTGTGTGATTTTTGTAACAGCATGCACTTGGTCATTGGGAAAATAGTGGTTCACTGAGCTACACAGATCCTCCAAATGTTGTCAGATATGTTATTTAAGATAACAAAAAATCACACTTGTAATCTCACCAATAATGTCAGAAAATCCTTTAAATACTGGGAAGCTGTCAAATCAAGCTCAGGAGCATGGTAACAAATTTTCCAAAATTTTAATTTTGGATTGAGAGCTCTAATTTTTATCATTAAGCAGCAAATACTGTCAGTTGTTTTCCTTACAGTGACGGTGGTTTGTTTCTTGTTTTGAGAAAATGTCTATCAAATGCCCAAGTCTGAATAACCAGTTGGTTTGTTCTTTCCAGTAAATGAAAAAAAGGAGCTAGTTCAGCTAGAACCCAGCCACAAAGTACTTCCCTTGAGCATCGTAGGTTGGACTGCTCTGTGTGTGGTTCCCATTTTGTCACACATAATATTAAAGATGTGTCTACTGGAAGGGGGCTGTATAGTGAAGTTAATTCTTACTGCTTTGCTGAAGACATTTAAAAATGAAACTGGCTCTAGTTTTTGTTTTTTACAAAAAATTACAAGTGCATTACAAGGTAGTGTCATGACAACAATTCCACTTTGTCAGCGTTGTCCAGTGCATTACAAGGTAGTGTCATAACAACAATTCCACTTTGTCAGCGTTGTCCATTTTGTCAGCGGTTTTACCCATTATTGCATTTGTACTGTAAGTGCAAATCTTAGCACAGTGAAAAAGGCTGAAACAAAATTAGTATTAATGTGAAAATAATTTAGACCACATAGACCCCTGAAATGCTTAGAGTTCCAAGCAGTACGGAAGGTTTCCTGTCTATTATTATGGCCCTGTAATAGCATTCGAAAAATACAATCTACTATTGGTTAGGCTAATTTAAAAATTGAAAAAGTAAAACAAAAAGATCCAAGGCCCCCAAACTGAATGACGCCCTATTCCCTACACTGAGAAATTTAGGACTGCTGTGTCTTCATTTCTTAATTGTTATTAATAGACTAAATACTATCACCTTACTCAATCAGCTAGCTCTTCTCTCACTTTGCTTACTAGAATCCTAAAAAAAAAAAACTTATCCCCCCATTGTATTCTATATGAACAGATTATCTCTGTTTATTCTTGTTGCAGGTGATGTGAAAAAAAAAAAAAGGTCCATTTAATGGTGGACTTTATCACTGCTCAAAGCTTGCTATATCTATAATCATGAGTTACACACTTTTTCTCTTTTAAAATATTTTTAGACCTAAAAGTGTTTTTCTTTATTCCTCAGGATGCAAAAATTGAAGCAGAAGAATTTACCAGGCAACTGTACGTTGAACTCAAGTCTTCACCTCAGCCTCACCTTGTTCCTTTTCTTAAGGTAGAGTGCCGTGATTATTTGGATTAGATTGCTTTAAATAACTGAAAGAAAAATTAAAGACCTGACTATTTCAATATGACAGCATTTTAATGTGAGAATACTAACAATAGGAGAAACCTCTCATAGCTGTTTTAATCTACAAAGCATGATCCTAGTCCATATTCTAGGATTGGAATTTGGATTGGAACATATTGGGAAAACAGAAGTAACATCTCATTCATGAGCATAACTTAATGATTATATTGTTTAATGTTTGTGTCCTCAAAGATTCTTGACTTTATTTTTTTAAATAGGGTCCTAATGACAACTTTCTCCTGATGACTCATATCCTCTTAGAAATAATAAACCACATACGTGCCAAATTTAGTGGGAAAGCTGTTATTTTTAAAAAATTAATTTATATTGTTAGTATGCATACTCATCTAAGATCTACTGAATTATGTAGAATTTTGATGGAAAACAATAACTTTGTTAATAAGAGCTTGATTTGGCAGACTAAAAATATGCAGTTATATATTATATCATGTATTATGTTACATATGTATATGTGTACATATATATGTGTGTGTGTATGTATATATATAACTCAGAAACTGAAAAGGAGTCAAAATTTAGGAAGTCATTAAAGACCTGGGATTATAGTGAACTAGATACTCATCCCATAAATTTTGAAATAATAGAATAAAGAGTTGCCTGTAAAAAAATTTGACGTATTTGTCTGGGGGAGATGAAAGAGGCTTCATAGTGGAAGACTCCTTTTGATTGCCTCATGAAAGAAGAGTGGGAAAGAAGGTGGGATACCACACTTTAAGAAGGATATTAAAATAGTGGAAACTGCCCTCAGGAGGGTACCAGTTGTTTCATACGAAGTGTACCTGAAGAAACTGAGAATGTTTTAGCCAGAGAAGACTTGGTCTGGGGAAAGGAGGGTTAAAGGGTCAGCCCAGTGGGTACTATCAAATGACTAGTGCCCTGTTTGTGGAAGAGCCCCTTGACCGAGAAGTTAGAGGCAGTTCTTCTTGGATCCCTTTCTGGGCAGAGTTTCTCTGAGCTATAGGTGCTACACAGGACGTTGTCAACTTATTTGAGATTGTATTTCATACTCACTGGAGTCACTGGGACAGAAAGAGGGGTATTAAGAAGCACTTGCTATGTGTTGTATGCTTTGCTAGATACTTTCCTTTAATTTGCATTGTTTGCATTTAATTTTCTGTCAATCTTTTGAGAATAGGTGCTAGATAGTACAGTATTTTATGAGAACACTGTTAAAATCGTCTGCTTTTGTTCAAACACACAGGTCCAGAATTTAGTCTATCTGACATTGCTAGGTAACATAACCGTTAAGTTGCCAACTATTACCGTGAAGTATTTGCACTTGTCTGTTTTCTGAGTTCCTAGTAGTCCTTACACTTTGTTCTTGAGGATTTTTTTTTGCTCATCCTTGAGAGCTTTTGGGAGTTAGGATGGTGCATAGAAATGCAGAATTCAGCATTTAAGCTTAACTCTGGCTGCGTGATCAAGAGATAATTTAGACATACATTTTGTGTTGTTGTCTCTCTGCATCCTATTACTTTAACATTTCTGTCCAATTTGTTTTTCTCAGGAAAACAAATTTTTTCCCCTTACCTTAGATTTGTAGCTTTAATCTAATTAATCAGATCACCTCATTTGTTCATGTATTGTCAAAGCAGCTTGTTTTCTACCATTTTTAAAATCTGGAAAAAGGTTATGAGAGACTTTCCGCTTCTTACTTTCCTTAGTTACTATTTATATAATAGTTGAAAACATCTGCAGATGAGAAATTCTCAATTGTTTTTATTTTTAAAAAATGTAAAAGAAAATAACTGTAAGGAAAGGTAGTCTGACTGAAAGTGTCACAACAAGGAGATCTTCCCAAACATCCCATAAATTTGCTGAAAGATAACCTACTGTCTACCTGCTTTTTCATGTTTTTTTCTTACCCAGAAACAAAAACAAAACCCACCAGGATGAAAAGGCAGAACTGTCTCCTTTTCAGTTTGAACTGTCTTTATACTCTCAGTGGGATACAAAGATAGACACCAATTTAAAATCCAGTCAGAAAATATTCTAGCTCAATTAAAAGAAATTGAACTTGTTTGTACTAGCTTTATTTGATGTAAAGGTAATTTCTATCCAAAGTTTGAAAGTTACTTAGCAAAACTTTTTTTTTTAGATTCTGCTTTTATATAAACAAACTTACAGAAACTGAAGTTATTAGTGATCTAGTATGGGGTTTAGATTAATGCAAACAAGGATGATATACAGTGTTTATTGTACCAAATTAATATTGAGATATATAAAAAGTTTAATACTGAGAACATAATAATTTTGTATTGAAAAACAGAGAACTTTTGGACTTTAAATTGTATTCCTGGATGTTGACAAGATATAAGTAAATGATACCAGATTTCCTCAACTGAAACACTTGAAATACTTTTGATTTATTTTATGCTGTAAAGATATGAAATACAAAGTAGCTAGTTTTACTGGTAGGTAATCGGCTTAGTCACCGGTGTTTTGTTCTTCTGCCCTTTCTAGAAAAGTGTGATTGCCTTACGACAACTTATACCCAACACCCAGAGCTTTATTCACCAGTGTGTTCAGCGGACTTCCAGCGAGATGACCATTGCTAGCTGCACCACAGCAGTAGCCGTTGCCCCTGTGCTGACAACCACGGTCTCCTCCATTCAGTCAGAGAAGCCCATCCTGGTTTCTGGAGCAGCAACGCCCACACTGAATTCACATGCTGGTCCTGCGAGCGCAAAACCTGGAGTTGCGACCCTTCATTCTATTGGTCCAGCTGCTGTCCCTGGAGGAACGGCCACTGGAACTGTTTTACTTCAGACTCCAAAACCACTTGTGACATCCATACAAAACACAGTGACGGCAGTGTCTCTGCAGCCTGAAAGGCCAGGTGTCCCGGGTGCAGCGGTAACTCTGGCACTTCCGTCCGTAGCCTTTACAGAAACCTCCACAGCAGCTGTGTGTCTCCCGTCGGTGAAACCCGCGGTCACCGCTGCCAGGACCACATCTGACAAGCCTGTAGTTGGTGCTCCCATCCAGATGAAACTTGCACAGCTGGGCCCTATCCTTTCCCAATCAGCTGGTATTCCACAGGCAGTTAAAGTCAAACAGCTAGTGAGTAACATTTCATTTCTTCTTCAATTTCCTATTATGAGAATTTCAAACATTCAGGAAACTGGCAGGCCTAGTAAAATGAACTGTGTTCCCTTGACCTAGTTTGACCAGTCATTGATGTTACACCACATCCGCTTTGTCTCTCCCCCTACAAATACACACACATATTTTTTCCTGACCATTTGAGAGTTAGTTGCAGAGATCATGACATTCCCCCTAAGTATTTTGTATTGTTTAAGGAAAAGGATTTTTTTTTAAGCACAGCCATAGCATACTTACTATCACACATGGGAAGTTATTATTAGTGTACTATTTTCCCAGTTGTCCCAACAATGGCCTTTATGCCTATTATTTTTCTGATGTTTCTAATAAAGAATTGCATATTACATTTACCTTCTCTTTAGGCTCCTTTAATTTTGAACAGCTCTGTAGTCTCAGGGTTGCTCATTATGTTGTAGTATTTTAAGAGTCCAGGCTAGTAATTTTGCAGAATGCCCTTTATTCTGTTTTGACTGACTATTTCTTCAAGGTGAGATGCAGATTCAATTATTTTTTTTAATTTTTTAATTTTGATATCATTAATGTAAAATTACTTGAACAACACTGTGGTTACTAGACTCCCCCCATTATCAAGTCCCCCCCACTTACGCCACTACAGTCACTGTCCATCAGCGTAGTAAGATGCTATAGAATCATTACTTGTCTTCTCTGTGTATACTGCCTTTCCCGTGTCTCCCCCCAACCCCACATTATGTGTGCTAATCATAATGCCCCATTTTCCCCCTTATCCCTTCCTTCCCACCTACCCTCCCCAGTCCCTTTGCCTTTGGTAACTGTTAGTCCATTCTTGGGTTCTGTGAATCTGCTGCTGTTTTGTTCCTTCAGTTTTTCTTTTTTCTTACACTCCACAGATAAGTGAAATCACTTGGTACTTGCCTTTCTCTGCCTGGCTTATTTCACTGAGCATAATACTCTGTAGCTCCATCGATATTGTTGCAAATGGTAGGATTTGTTTTCTTCTTACAGCTGAATAAATATTCCATTGTGTATATGTACCACATCTTCTTTATCCATTCATCTACTGATGGACACTTAGGTTGCTTCCATTTCTTGGCTATTGTAAATAGTGCTGCGATAAACATAGGGGTACATCTGTCTTTCTCAAACTGGGCAGCTGCATTCTTAGGGTAAATTCCTAGGAGTGGAATTCCTGGGTCAAATGGTATTTCTATTTTGAGTTTTTTGAGGAACCTCCATACTGCTTTCCACATGATTGAACTAGTTTACATTCCCCCCAGCAGTGTAGGAGGGTTCCTCCTTCTCCACAACCTCGCCAACATTTATTGTTGTTTGTCTTTTGGATGTTGGCCATCCTAACTGGTGTGAGGTGATATCTCATTGTGGTTTTAATTTACATTTCTATGATGATTAGCGATGTGGAGCATCTTTTCTTGTGCCTGTTAGCCATCTGAATTTCTTTTGGAGAAGTGTCTGTTCAGTTCCTCTGCCCATTTTTTAATTGGATTATTTGCTTTTTGTTTGTTGAGGGTGGGAGCTCTTTATATATAGTTTGGATGTCAAACCCTTATCAGATATGTCATTTATGAATATATTCTCCCATACTATAGGATGTTTTTCTGTTCTACTGATGGTATCCTTTGCTGTACAGAAGATTTTTAGTTTGATATAGTCCCACTTGTTCATTTTTGCTTTTGTTTCCCTTGCATAGGGAGGTAAGTTCATAAAGAAGTTGCTCTTATTTATGTCCAAGAGATTTTTACCTATATTTTTTTCTAAGAGTTTTATGGTTTCATGACTTACATTCAGGTCTTTGATCCATTTTGAGTTTACTTTTGTGTACAGGGTTAGACAATGATCCAGTTTCATTCTCTTCCATGTAGCTGTCCAGTTTTGCCAACACCGGCTATTGAAGAGGCTGTCATTTCCCCATCGTATATCCATGGCTCCTTTATTGTATATTAATTGACCATATATGCTTGAGTTTATATCTGGACTCTCTATTTTGTTCCACCGGTCTGTGGGTCTGTTCTTGTGCCAGTACCAAATTGTCTTTTGATTACTGTGGCTTTGTAGTAGAGCTTGAAGTCAGGGAGTATAACTCCACCTGCTTTATTCTTCCTTTTCAGGATTGCTTTGGCTATTCAGGGTCTTTTGTCATTCCATATGAATTTTAGAACTATTTGCTCTAGTTCATTGAAGAATGCTGTAGGTATTTTGATAGGAATTGCATCGAATCTGTAGATTGCTTTAGGCAGGATGACCATTTTGACAATATTAATTCTTCCTAGCCAAGAGCATGGGATGAATTTCCATTTCTTAGTGTCGTCTTTAATTTCTTTTAAGAGTGACCTGTAGTTTTCAGTGTATAGGTCTTTGACTTCCTTGGTTAGGTTTACTCCTAAGTATTTTATTCTTTTTGATGCAATTGTGAGTGGAATTGTTTTCCTGATTTCTCTTTCTGCTAGTTCATCATTAGTGTATAGGAAAGCAACAGATTTCTGTGTATTAATTTTGTATCCCGCAACTTTGCTGAATTCAGATATTAGATCTAGTAGTTTTGGAGTGGATTATTTAGGGTTTTTTATGTACAATATCATGTCATCTGCAAACAGGGACAGTTTGACTTCTTCCTTGCCTGTCTGGATGCCTTTTATTTCTTTAGATTCAATATTTTTGTAGAGTTATATAGGTGATATTTTGGTGACAGTTCCTGTAAAAATACATGCCATGGGGAGAAGACGATTGTGAGGGGAGCAGGTGAGTAAGGACTTGTGTTTTTATCTAAACTTAGTAGGTTAGGAGGTTCTTTTAACTGTTTATTGATTAGTGTTATCATTTATTCAAGACAAGTTTTATAGGAAGTCTGTCAAAATATTGTTAATCTGTGAGACATAGTATGCAGGGAATTAATTAAAAATCATGTCTCAGTAAAGTTCTCCCCTACCTTACACCGTAGCAGAGCCAGCTGCTGTTTTCGTTGCTGGCAACTGCCCGTGTTCTCTTCTGCAAGCCTTGTATTACAGGCTATGTTTTGAATCTCTGTTTTAGTTTATTCTACTTGGAATAGTAAAATCTAGTTTAACTTCCTAGCCCTCTTTGTGTGATTAGGAGAAGAGGTTAGGATGTTTGGATGACTGTCTTTGAGGCAGAGGGCAGCTTTGGGCATAAAATGAAAGGGCATAAAATGAAGATAGTTTGGACAGTAGTCAACTTGTGGGTAGGCAAGAAGGTAAGAAGTAATAGGCATTTCCTGGGCACTAATCTTTTCATTCCTTCTTTCTCTGGGGTGATATTCAAATGGAGAAATCTATCTGCCTTGCAGAGTTTCTCTTGAGTGTCTGAGTTTAATCTCAGAAATGAAAACTTTTTAGAAGCTCAGATTCTTTTTTTTTTTTAATTTTGGTATCATTAATCTACAATTACATGAAGAACATTATGGTTACTAGGCTCCCCCCTTCACCAAGTTCCCCCCACATACCCCTTCACAGTCACTGTCTATCTGCATAGTAAGATGCTGTAAAATCACTACTTGTCTTCTCTGTGTTGCATAGCCCTCCCCATGCCCCCCACGCACTATACATGCTAATCGTAATGCCCTCTTTCTTTTTCCCTGCCCTTATCCCTCCCTTCCCTCCCATCTTCCCCAGTCCCTTTCCCTTTGGTAACTTAGTCCATTCTTGGGTTCTGTGATTCTGCTGCTGTTTTATTCCTTCAGTTTTCCTTTGTTCTTATACTCCACATATGAGTGAAATCATTTGGTACTTGTCTTTCTCCGCCTGGCTTATTTCACTGAGCATAATACCCTCTAAGAAGCTCTGATTCTTAAACATCAATCTGAACAGCCAGGTTGGGAAACCAGTGGAACAGAGTAATTGCCCCAAGGAAAGGCCTCCTTCTGGTAGCACAGGATCAGAATTGAAATCCTCTTTGTGGATCATAGCTAATTCTTGAATTGGTGCTAATATTTACTGAGTATCTGTAGTGTATCAGTTCCTGAAACAAAATAATACTCTGTAACTACATAGTTTTAAGAGCATATTGTGTATGCACTATGGATTTAAAATATTTTATGATGAAAAAGAGGAATGGAGAAAATGAAGAATCTGGAAATTATAAGTGACCCTGTCCACTGGCTTCAGCAAGTAAAATGTATGTCAGTCTAGAATCCAGCATCTGTCCCATTAGGTTGTGGCGCTTATGGTAAGAACTTCTAGGTTTCTGGAGTGTTCTGAAACAGAAAACTTTCTGGCAGTTATGTTTTGACACTTATTTACATTTTGTAGGTTTGACTTGGTATACATTAGAAACAATTTCAATCAAGAAGAAAGGTGATAGAAAATTCAGTGGTGGATATTAGGGACTTTTAAACCTTCTACTTGCATTCTTAAAATAATGTAGAATAATATAATTTTCCTTGTGGATGCTGCTTTCGTTTTTGGCCTTTGTTTCAATTTTAGTGAATAGATTTGATGTCAGTAATCATAACTTCTAATTTAAAATGGCAAAAACTGGAGCAGCTAGACACTATAAAGATTCATTGTAATCTGTTTTACAGCAGGTTTTTACCTTGGGCACAAAAAATATAAGCTCTTCTGCATGGTGATGACATAGAGAGGATTGAACTAGGACATTCAAATCAACTAATGTAGAAAATATTACTCAAGTTGGAATTACTATTATTACTCATGTAATTTAAGGATATCATCAGTGAGTCCATTATAAACCATAGTCCTATTTAAGCCTAGGTCTCAGTAAGGAGGCAAACACTTCAAGGTGGTAGAGACATAAGAACATATTCAGTGCAGCTTAATAAGAAATATGGCAAATAATCATTTAAAATACAAGAATTTCCATACTGGATCAAATCTGTGGTCTATGCAACTCCACATGCCATCTCCAAGAATGATACATTAGAAACAAATATGGATGAAACAAATGTGGTTGAAATATGGCTGTGTTGTTCAGTGTTAGATTTAAAA